GCCTTCTGCCAATTCATCCGCGTCGGGAGCGAGCCCTCCTCCCGGCAGCCCGCGTGGGCGGCTGGCTCTGTGCATCTCTGGCATCACTCACTGGTGTCACCCCAGGGGCAAATCTCAGACCAGGGCCCCACTGTGCCGGGCGCTGCGGGAGCATCCCGTGACAAACTGCTCCCGTTCTCTGGAGGTACTGACCCAAACCGCAGGCGCAGGGAGAGAGGAGAAACCGAGGCAGCAGGTATTGGGATGGGGTGGATGTGGGGTCCAGGTGTGATGAGACCAAGAGACGCAGGGGTGGGCATGCCAGGTCAGGAGATGGGGCAAGAGGAAAGACAGGAGCCAACCCCCATCATTTCAGCCCCTAGTAAGCACAGCCACTTGGAGAATGACAACCCAGCCACCCCCCTTCCAAAATACACACCATGACACCCCGGGCTGTGGCTGGGGGGGGGGGGGCCCTTCCCTGGCTCTGGCCAGCAGCGCTCTGCCCGGCACAGCATGGGGGCACATCCCTGCAACCACCGCAGCCAGGGCAGCCCTGAGGGTTTATTCTCTTTTAAACACTGCCCTGCCAGATATAGAATCATAAAATCATTAAGCATGGAAAAGACCTCTAAGATCATCAAGCCCAGCCGTCAACGCATCATCACCATGGCTGCTAAACCACGCCCTGAAAAGCCAAAGTCTAAGAGTAACCCCTGCCAGCCAAGCACAGCTGCTCCCTGGGGGCTTCTGGAGACTTTAGGGACCAGGTTCTTCCTCTGCTCATCTTGGAAAAAACAGCTCGGCTGTGGGGCTGTGCTCCTGGGAGTGGGTCTGTGCTCGGAGCGCATCTCACAAAGGACACACATAAAACAAAATAAATCGGCATAGGAGCAGCTCTCTGGATAAAACCCTATTTTCTTAAAGTTATTGCCTGTAATGGACTTCTAACACTTTCAACTAAATGGATTAACAAGGAGAAAAATGCATGAAAATAATCATTTTATGTAACGTGCAGGAAATGTCTTCCCCTAAGGAAAAAGACAAATCACTCGATCAGACCATCCCTATCTGTACAGAAACACCGTTTGAAGTCACCTAGGCTCGGAGGACCGTGCCAGTTTAATCTGCTTAGAGTCTCACCCTCCAAACATCATTTCCAGCCTCCCCAAAGCAGCTCCGGCTCTCCTGGCTGGCTCACAAATGGCAAGATCTTAGTGGGTTCAGCTAACTGCGAAACACAGGTGCTCTCAGGCCCCTATTTCTGTAATTAGCTGTCAGAACCACGACTGCAAATTATGTGAGAACGCTGAAAAATCGGATCAGCCTGTGGCAAGAGCAGCAAACCAGGAGAGCTGCAGTAAGCCCGACATTGCATCGGTTGTAAATACTTAGTAACCGAGCAAAGCGGAGGGGGACGGGGAAGGAGAGGCAGCCCCACAAAGCAGCATTTATTCCAAAGGAATAACTTGGAAGCTCTTAGGCAACAGTCAACATTGCAAAATCCACTGTCTGCCAAAAGGCCCCGAGGGCTTCGTGTGCTTTCAACCTTATTTACTCTCCTGCTTTAAGTCCTTGGAGTGGAAGCTCCTTCTAGGTCTGTGCCGAAACACAGCGATCTTACGGGGGCTGGAGGAATTTGCCAGAGTGTGATTTCCTCAGAGAGCAAACAAACTGTGCTCTATTTGCCCTTCTCTGATATCTCCTATTATATAAGTCAAATCTGAAAGGGGGTTATTGCATGTGACTAAGGCATCGCTAGCTCTGCATCATCACGTGGCTTCCCTGAGCACTCCCCAGGCACCTTTCGGGGGGCCGTGAGCCCCCACCTTCCTGCTCCCTCCCCACGAGGGACTCTCCAGCCCAGTGCGAGCAGGGCCAGGGGATGCTCAAAGCTCCCCTCGTCCCTGGTTCGGCGTATGCCAGCCCAGCAAGTGGTCACCAGCGCAGGGTGAATCACTCCAGCCCTCCACTGCTCACGGCCAAAGGACACGTCTTGCAAGAGGGTGGAAGAAACAAGGCTGATTAAATCTCCTTCCTTTAATGTATATTTAAGTCTAAATTTGCAAAGTACGTTGGCTCACGCTTAATTTTAGGAGGGTGAACTGTCTCTATGCCATCAATGCATCTTCTGACATTGTCCGTGAAGAGCTATCATACCAAAAGCCCATCCTCGTTTAAAATCCTCAGTCGCTGATGAGAGATCAGCACTCTCAAGCACACGCCAGCCTGCTTTGGGTTTCTCTGCATGTAACGGCTGTATGGCAAAATAAACCTGAGCCAGCTTTGTGAGTTTTGTCATCATCAGTAAATTACAGTTTGATTATTTGTATTTTTAGCACTAACTGGCAATTAAAATAATCCCACTGAGATATTAAATGCAGCTTAAAGACAGTGAGACCATCATAAAACAAAGAGCAACACTACAGAGGTTCCAATCAGCCACACCAAGGTTATAAAACATTATTCACATAGAAAGTGGACAGTTCAGCTAGCATAAAAAGGCTATTTTTCCTTTTAATATGGTGATAGATTTTGTATGAAATCTCATGTGTTCATGACTGATTTAAATCTCACATAAACCAGCAGAGCCAGGGTATAACAGCCATTAATAGCAAGAGCTGAAAAACAGGTCAGGCGTTTGACAATATTTGTCTCTTTTGCATCATTTCCCAAAATCTGAACTATTTTCCTGGCAGTTCAAATTAAAGACTGTTTCAAGCACTTCTGCAACTGTTTAGCAATAATAATAATTAAAAAACCCCCAAAGGCATTGCTTTGCAAAAGCATTCATTGTTTTCTTTCTTTTTTTTTTTAAAGCAAAATCTGCCACCGAGATGAAATGAAGCCCCACGCCACAAACACTTCAAGCATGCCTTGGGTAACTCTGCAATCCAAATCAGGCAAGGATGGCACAATTTTCCCCCAAATGGCAAATGTCAAAAATTCAAGAATTGCATTGCAGCTTCCAGAGCTGTGCACTGCCCTTCCACAGAGGTTCATATTAATAAAAAACCCCTTCTCTCTCCCAATTTTCCCTTTTTCTATGTGTGTCTGGTCTGAGCTTTCCTTTGACGTTAGCAAGGCCCTTTCTGTTGACTTTCTCCTCCCTGGTGCGGGCACTAAGAACAGCTAATTAACAGCGATACACCAACAGAGCAATAAACGGTTTCCAATAAGTTCCCTGTTCCTTTTCATTGGCAAGACCAAATTTTTTCTAAACAAAAAGGAACAACAAAAAACCCCCTCTCGACAGATTCCCTTTAAAGACCAGGAATTAAGAACAAGACAGCGCCGAGATGTTATTTTACATCCCGACTTTCATGTCGTTTAGGGTTCATTGCTGTTCCCTGCTCGGAGAACACTAACGCCGTCTGTGCCTCCTCACTGCAAACACCCTGCGGCCCGTACCTACGGCTGGGGAGAAGGTGCGATTACTTTTTTTCACCAGGTACATCAGAACAAAATAAGCAGTGCTCGGGAAGGACTGCTTGGAGTCAGCCACGGGGCAAGCTCACACTGGGCATCTCCTGCATGTTTCTATTAACGGTTATTTATGGGTGAGGAAACTTCCAGGCCACCCTCCTAGCAAAGCTCCCCTGGAGGAATAAAAAAATCTCTGCAACATGTTAAAAATTTCCCCAGTGCAACAGGGAGCCCTGCAAAATTTAAGAAAACATCAGCATCCACCTCCCACCAAGGGCTTGGCAGGGTGGAAGCAGGCAGGGGCCTCTCGCCACTGGTTTTAGAAAGTGCAAAAATAAGGAAAAGAGGGTGAAAGGATGGGGTAGGAGCTGCGGCTTTTCAGGGCAAATTACACCATTAAGTGAGGACTGCTTTGCCGCCTGTGAATTTATTAGCTGAAAAAACTTAACGGGGTCTGTAAAAGCAAAAATTCATTGCAAGGAATTTGCTGGAGCCCCCTCAGCCATTCCTATGTTTCTTTGCCAGGCTGGGAGGTTCCATTGGGTACCACCATGTGGTGAGCTCGGCTTTGCCTCCTGCTGCTTCCCATCACACCTCGGCTTGCCGGCGGGTGGGAATGGGGCACAGTCCCCTCCGGCCTCTTGTAGCCATGGACGTGCTACATAGGATTATAAACCCAACTTTCCAGCACCACGGAGACCAAGGAAATGAAGCTAAACCTGTGCGCACCATCCCCGCCAGGCTGAGGGACCACGGGCAGGGCATATTAGACAACGTCACACACACAACTGGCTGCAGGCTGGGATGCTCCACTCAGCGAGGAGCCGAGAACAAGCTCATGAGGACGAAAAGATGAGAGGAAAGCACACACTGCCTTAACCTTGAATATTTTCTCTTGCTGCAGCGGAAAACTTGCGCAGCCTCTGCATGCGTGAGATATTTTTCCTCTCATCAGTAAATTGGCTTTTCCTATTCTTTCCCTTTTTTTCTTTTTTAATTTTTTTTAGCGACACAGTAAAGGCAGGCTCTGGAAGTGTCTGTGAACACCAATGCTTTGAGCAGGAAGCCGGCGGTGCCCCTCCAAATTTTGTTACCGGAGAGGAGGCCCTGTTTTGCGTTTACACCACAGCCCATTCACACAGTCTCGGCAACGAAAGGGTCCTCAACCAATTTCGTCCCCCTTCAAGGCCCCCCTGGGCCAAGCAGGAGCGATATAAAAGCAGTCTGACTGCCAGTGAAAGCTGGGTCCCCATTTGATTAATGTTAGTATTATATTAATACTCCCTGGAGCTACGCGCTGCAGGCGTCAGGGTGATCAGGATCAGGCTCTGACCATGCACCTCCAAAGTCAGTGAGACCTTTGTTGTTCAAAGGGAGCAGGATTGAGCCCTTGCTGCCCTGCCACTGGGGCCGGCAACGGTTTTGAAGGGAGGCTGATGGACTTGGTGGGGGGGGAGTTTCTGCCCCTCTCCATCCCCTGCATCCCCATGGAGGACCCATG